CCCGGTAGTCCGTGAAATCACAAAGGATTTCAAACCAACTCGTGTCCCAAATGGCGATCGTAATAAGTTTAGCGGTCACCATCACATATTACATAAAAGTTCGCAATCTCGAGATACATCGAGTTTAAACATAGTTATTACAAACCAGTTCGAATAAAAGTAGCGGAAGTCATTTGTTCAAACCACACACACACTCACGCGAGTTTAAATATAGTGCCAAATGAATGATCATCTCCAACAAAAGCATTAGATGAGACGTAAGGAATGACCATGCCCATGGTCCTAAGCATCACCCATCGCAGGATAAAGGCGCTTGATACAATAGCCGTAATACATCCGCCCATCTCGCAACAAGTGGGAATAAAACCACGAGTACGAGAAGGTACTCAAATTGGACTTACAGACATAACCGAAAATAAATGACACCAAGGATTATGCGGGCTTTATAGTAGGGTAGTGACTCATTTGCAAAAGAAGCATTTTTAGCATTTCAAGAACCTTTCTAAAAGCATTATTGTCAAGTTAATTATTATTAACTTTTGTCGACTAGATTTGCACCTATACTAGAGTAAACATGTGATTAAGCAATTAATGATAACCACCGATCATTAAACAACTTCCATACTGTCATATTCACTATAAGCGTCCAAGTGTTCCATAAACATTTACTACGATGAAGTAACTCAAGTCAAGTGCTCACTATCCGGGAGAGCGATGGCGATTCGAATCGATTCCTAACCACCGTGGTGATTTATTCCTTACACAAATCTCACTCACCCGCTAAAGTGAGATATTGATCACCGAGTCAACTTTCCGTATCTCGAGTTTGCCAGAACCACATGTACCGGGGCCGACCGATCGCACTTTGGTCTTATCATCCCGCCCGTGTCCTACCACACCGCTTGCACGGTCTTGGCTGCAGGCAATCTACTCGGCCCGAAAAATCTCCCGACTTCATGGTCGGAAGGTACTTTATCCGCCCACTAAATGTAAGGCATGCGTTCAACATGACTCGAGGCCCAACAACGGTCGGTCCTTAATCGACCTGAGACGGAAACACTACAGTCCAAAACCCCGCAAGTCTCCTTGGGTCTCAACTTCATTTAACACTTAGTTATACCATGACTTCATAGCCATCCAAACAGATCCAGGTAACCACCTATAGCTCGCAGGTGACAGGAAATCACCCGACTTCTACCGGTCTAAGCCAGCTAAGCATTGACTCGACTGCGGATACCAGGGTAACAAGGATATAGTATAACAAAGGTAAGCAAGGTATAATGCAGCAACGGTTGCAAACAACTCCTGAACGTAATGCATCAATTAAAGTAAAGCATTTAATGAAATCATTGCAAACCGGGAGAAAAGATGCTCCGGGGCTTGCCTCTCTCGAAGGAGCTCGGACGGTGATCGGGGCACTTCGGAAGTTCTTCAACGTCCTCCTCGTCGGCTTCTGGCACTTCCTGCTGCTGCACCTCGAACTGCTCCTCGGGCTCCTCGGGAATGACGACTGGGTTCTCGGTTTGCGATCCTGTATGATGCAATGCGTGTAAGTGCCTATGCAATCGGTGCATCGAAGGAGATGAATGCAATGGATATGTTGAAATGCAAGGTAGTCAACATCATCCAAGAAACTATGCTACAAGCACATGTCATCTACTGTATTCTCTTCTACTACCAATATGTTAAGTTAACATATCTTATGAAATGCTTCAAAGATACACCAAAGTTTTACTAATTTCTTAACCACACTTAAAGCAACACTTGCTTAAACCCTAATTAATAATAGGTTTGAATAGCAACATATATTTCTGATGCTCCTAAAAATCTGAGAAAAATACAGTAGCATAATACTACCCTAAATGGACTACCATAAAAATTTCATGGCATTTGGATAAGTAAACTATCCTACATAAAAATGACAAGCTATAGCATAAAAATGAGCATGAAATTACTTTGTACTATGAAAAGTGTCAAACAACAGATTGAGTATTTTTCCTATGTTCTTTATAGTATATAATCACTGTACAAAAATTGTCACATGCATGTTTTATACAAAACTTGTGCTCTAGCAAAAATAACAAAAATCAGCCATTAAAGGTACTTGAACTACACCTCAAAATTTTCCCACAGCACATGCATGAAACATATTTTTCCTAGGAAGTACATGACATAAGAAGATTAACAAACTTAGAATCATATTTTTCTGAAGCCTATAAAATTTTCTACAGATTTTTCAAGTTATCAGCAATATTCATGATTAAATAAAATTCTACATAAAAGTATTTCAAAAATGACATGCAATAATTTTCCCTAATAGATCTGATGATAAGGAACCTAGGAAAATTTGTTCCAACCAATTTGGAGCTAAAAGGAGTACACAACCATTTTCTAAAGCATTTAAATAGAATTCTGAAAAATCATTTTTGAAATCCTTTAAAACTTCATGCTCAAAACCGCTAGATACACCCGGTTATCCACCCACAACCCGCGCCAAAGAGACAGACAGGCGGGACCCAGCGGGTCACCCGGCCCCACTGGTCAGCCGACCGGAGGCAGGGGATGGCCTTGCCCGGCCGGATTTTCACCGGCGGTGAGGTCGCCGGCGGTGTGGTTGCTACCTACGGACTCCACAAGGGGAGGCGCACCTACTGGTGCTACTTGCGCGGCCAGAGGACCCCCAGAGCGAGGTGACCGATGGTCATGGCGCGCGGCGGCGCTGCAGGGTGGCGGTGCGGGCCTGTTCCGGCGCAAAGGTGGCCGGAGCGACGACTTCGGCTCGCGACCGAGCTTCGCCATTGCGAGGCGGGCACGGTGCGCACGAAAATAGGAAGATAGGAAGGCGGAGCAGGGCTGGCCACGGAGGCGCGCGCGGCGGCCGAGCTCCGGCGAGTGACGGCGTGAAGGAAAACTCAAGGCGAGGCCTCACCTCCGGTCGATTCGCGAGGCGAGCGGGTCAGCAGCGTGGCGCGCGAGATGGCAGTGCTTGTGGCGCGAGAAGGCGGGGAATGGTGCGGTGGCTGGGGTGGAACGCGGCGGCGAAGGGCGCGGCGGCGCTGAGCTGCGCCGTGGCTGCTGCTGCCTGCTGCGAGTAGGAGGGAGCGAGCGGAATGAGGCGCGTGGGGAGAAGTGGGGCGCTGGCGGCAGCTTAAGCGAGGCGAGCGGGTGGTGGGACCTGCAGGAGCGCCACCCGGCGGGCGGCGCCGGCGTACGGTCGCCACGCGGTGGCCATTGCTTGAGCGCGGTCGGGGCACGGCGCGCGGCGCGCGGGAGGGAGGCCGAGCTAGGCCGGGCCGGCTTGCGAACTGGGCCGGGAAGTGAGGCGCAAGGCCCACGAAGGTAAAAACAAGATTTTTCAAATTAATTTGAATTCCTTTTTCATTCAAACGAATTTTTGGACTAAATCAAAGCAGTTCCAAACTTTGGACCAAAAATAAAAGTTGCTCAAAATTTTATCCTCTACAACTTTGATTTTAAGACCAACGTCCAATTCATTATAGATTTTGAATTATAAAATTAAAGTCAGATTTGACTCGAACCCTAATTTTTTGGAGAATTATTTTTAAAGCAAAATTTGGCAATAATTCAAATACAAACCTTGCTCCAAAAATTGTGATAAACAATTCTAGATGATTTACAATCATAACCAAACAAGTTCTACTACCTAGCAAGCAAGAATCAGAGCAAAACAACTCTAATAAGTGTATGCATCATTTAAGTTTCACAAACATGTTTCGTATGTTTCGAAGTAATGTTTCAGTTATTATATGCAAGATTATGCATGCATGATTAGGATGCTTGATGATGCATGATATGCATGATTTGCAGTGCCTAAATGTAGGCATAACACCGGGGTGTTACACGCCTGTCCTGTCATTGGTGCGGCACAGCCGCTCATCGTCGGGGCTGCGCCCAGCCGCCCGCCCACTGGCATCCCCCTCCCTCGCGACTCCACAGCATCGAGCTCTGAGCCGGCGTCGAGCTCTGCGTCAACGAGCCTCCATTCGTCCAAGCAGCAAGTAGATGTTGCGCTTGAAAGCGCATGTTGCAAGTATATGTTTCAAATGTTTTAGATGTATGTTGCAAGTGTTTCATATGAATGCTGCAAAGCTAGATCAAGATGTTGCATATTTTGCAATGGCTTTTTTCAAGCGTTTTTAAGGTGTTTTTACTAGTGTTTCACACATATATTGCAATTGTTTTAACCGCTTCGAACATATGTTGCAAATATTTTTTATTTGGATGTTTTAAAAGTAGATCATGTGTTACATCTCTCTCCTCGCCTTCTACTGCCTCGCCTCGATGTCTCCTCCTCTTTCTCGATGCTGGTGATGTTCGGACGGTGTGGACCCACGTGGGGGCGGACGGCGTGGGTGTGGCGAGTCGTTCAAGCGGCGCGGAATGTGAGCGGGCAGGACGTGTAGCATGAAGCAGGCGCGAGGTGGGGAGCTGTGTCCGAACGCGGACCGGCCGGTCCGGGCGCTAACCTGACCGGGGCCAAAAACACGAGCACACGAGCGATGTAACTGCCGCAGTCTCACCAAAGCCCAAGATACATAGTGGGGAATATATCTAGTGCAAACCAACCTCTCCATGCAAACCGTGCAAACCAACTGCGGGGGAGAGGTGGGAGGGGGGATTTGCAAAAGTGTAATTACGCCCGCTCCTAATTATACTTTTGCAAATCCCCCCTCCCACCTCTTTTTCTTAGTTGGTTTGCATGGTTTACACGGAGAGGTTGGTTTGCACTTGATACATTGCCTACATAGTGATACTGGTATATATTCCAAGAAGCCAATCGGCCCACTTTCGGTCACCCAAACCGCCATATAACAGCCCACTACTGTTAAGCACAGTACGATTTATCCCGGTTGCAACTTGGAAACACGGCTTCTTTTTGCCCTAATCCAACATACCTCCCTGTCCGCATCACGAGCGCTCTATTCCGCCGTGTCTTCTCGAACGGTCCCAAACCCTAGGCCTAGGCGCGACCTGAGCCCATGTCAGGGTCTTACGGATCCGACGACTACCGCGGCGGCGGCGGCGGCGGCGGATACGGTGGCCGAGGTCGCGTTTGGATCCCCCGACCTGCGTGCGTGTGTCTGTCCCCCTGGATCTGATTCTGAGCGATTCGTGCTTGTGCAGGTGGCGGCGGCGGCGGCGGCCGTGGGCGCGGAGGCGGTGGAGAAGGGTATGGAGGTGGCGGCGCGGGAGGAGGATATGGAGGTGGTGGTGGTGGTGGAGGCTACGGCGGTGGCGGTGGCGGCGGCCGAGGCGGTGGCGGCACCGGGTTCGGTGGCGGAGGACGAGGTGGCGGTGGTGGTGGAGGTGGCCGAGGCGGTGGCGGGCGCGGGGGTGGACGCGAAGGCGACTGGGTTTGCCCTGACGCAAGGTGCGTTTTCAATAGCTTGTTCGTCGATTGTCTGTTGGGACTAGATTCGTTGAATCGTGTTATTCCATACTGTGATGAGAATTCTGGCGTGTAGAGTCAAGTAAAACTGTTTTGAGATGTTTTTTTGCGGTGTTTGGGTGATTGAATCATTATGCTGTCGGATAATGATTTGCATGCGGCATGGTGTGCAGGACCTAGCTCCCTGTTCCTTTAGCTTGATTTGCATCCATGTAGCTGGATGGTATATAGCTACCTGTTGTTTGCGTTGTCTTATTTACAGGACTTTAATAAGCTTCTATGGATTGAAACATTGGGTGTCTTGATTTCGTTATAATTCCAAAAGATTTGGGGGCTAGATGGCTAGTGATGACAATTTAAAGCTGAGTTTCATGGCTTTTAAATTTATTTGATATTTGACTTTGAGATGCAATTCAGGACAACTGTAATAGATGTATACATTTGATTAGGATTATAGGAAAGGGTTATGGTTTGTTTTTTTGGGTATAGTTTCATATATGTGTTCTTTTCTTTGTATGTAGTAGCTTTAGTTCTTCCATGATGCAGAAAGCTTAATCGTTTTATTATAACTGATTTCTTGATGTATCTCTTTCCTGAAAAAAATTTACGAATCTTGATGTAGTTGTGGCAATGTGAACTTCGCGAGGAGGACTGAATGCAATAAGTGTGGAGCACCATGCCCAAGTGGAGGTGGCGGCAGTGGGGGTGGGGGCTATAATAAGTCTGGTGGAGGTGGTGGGGGCTACAACAACCGTGGCAGTGGTGATTATGGTTCTGGAGGAGGAGGTGGTTTCGACAGAGATGGCGGAGACTACAATTCTGGTGGGCGTGGTGGTGGAGGTGGGGGCAGAGGAGGATACAATCGAAGTGGTGGTAGTGACCGTGGTTTTGATGACCACCGTGGTGGCAGAGGTGGCACCTATGGGGGACGAGATCAGGAGAACAAAAGGGGTAGTGAGGGTGGCTACAATGCCGTTGGCTATGGACAAGCTCCTCCGCAAGGTCCTCCTTCCTATGGTGGTCCTGTGGGTGACTATGCAGCGCCTCCTAGCTCCTATGGAGGCAACAATGCTTATGGTTCAGATTCTGCAGTGCCGCCTCCTAATAGTTACAGTGGTGGCCCGGGCTCATACCCACCAAGCTATGGTGCCCCGCCTCCACACCAATATGGTGGTGCCCCAGGGGGGCAAGGGGGTCTGCCTCCTACATATGATGGTGGATATGGTGGTCGGTCCATGCCTGGGGGTGGAGGATCTGGGGGTGCACCGCCACCTTATCATGGCAGCGGTGGCGGCGGCGGTTATACTGGTAGTGCTGACCCTGAACCAGCTGGAAAAGTTAAGCAGTGTGATGAAAATTGTGACGAGACATGTGACAATGCAAGGATTTACATCTCAAATTTGCCTCCTGATGTCACTGTTGAGGAATTACAGGAGCTATTTGGAGGAATCGGCCAGGTATAATTCAATTTACATCACTTCCTTTTGTGCGATAGTAATTGTATGCTTTACAAGATTATCATTTTCTCTAATGGTATATATATTTCATAATTCTGTAACAGAATTCATTACTTCTCTTTTACTAGTTTGCTAGTTAGATTTGTATGCCAGTAATTGTGCTCACTATAATTGTGCATTTTATAGCCAAAAATTCTACTGCTGAATAGGTAGAACAACCTTTAGTAGTAAACTAATTATTCTGTGTAATTATATTCATGCAATCTTCTAATGTGACTTCTGGTGATGGAAAATGTTATGGCTTACATCAAATCTAGTGTTTCACTGCATCCTTGGTTGTTATTATGCTTCTAAGAATTTTAGCTTATTTGTTTAGGATATCTGTATGGAACTGATTTATCTCGCCTTTCTATATTTAATAGTGTACAGTTGGTTTCACATTATGTTAAGTCTGTGATTAACTAACACTTTTTTAGAGTTTCATTTTTGGATTCTTATTATCAATCATCACTTTTTTAGAGTTTCATCTTGTTTTTGCATGAGCTATCATGCTGTTGAAACCAATTCATTTATTTAATGTGTTGCCGTTCATCTTCGTGTTATCTTTGCATCGGATGATTCTGCAATGCTTGCGGCTATTTTTTTTTAAAGGTTGGAAGGATCAAGCAAAAACGTGGTTACAAAGATCAGTGGCCCTGGAACATAAAAATATATACTGATGACTCTGGAAAAGCCAAAGGAGATGCTTGCCTTGCTTATGAAGATCCTTCTGCTGCTCACTCAGCTGGTGGATTTTACAATAGTAAGATTTCTGTCGAGTTTTCAATGTTAGTGATATCAATTTCTCCAATGCATAGTCCAGTTCAGTTTCTAATGCATCTATTCTGTTCTAGATTATGACATGAGAGGCTACAAAATCAGCGCCAGATGGCTGAGAAATCAGCACCCAGAGCAGTACCCTCTTATGGGCATGGGTAAGTAGTTTTTATCTGTTATTATCTGCTAGATGCGAAGTGTGGATTGCCATATCAAATTGAATCAATTAGTACTGGTATTGGAATTCCATAGTCTATGGAATTTCATTTGCATGACACTTTTAGCTACAAATGATAATTCCCGCCAGAAACAAAAACACATGATCAACTTTTATATGCCGTGCACTGTTAACACTTCATTTTGATCTAGGCTTTGAATTAGCTTCATTTATAGGCTGATGGCTAATAGATAGTCCAACCAAACTGAGTTTGTAAATTGTTCTACCATACATAAGATCCTAATGGTTGATCAGAAACACAGCCCAAAGGTCATGATTTGTGCTTTCATTCAGGCCCTTTTATGATATACTTCAAAATAAGCAATACATGGGTGGTGAATGGTTACGTTTTCAGCTTTTGTTGGCTTGAACTCTCCTATAACTTCACAGAAGCTAATTAGTTGAACAAAGTAATATTGTGCTGATTGCAATACCATATATTATTAAAAATTCACTGATGTGAGGGGAAATAGTTAGAATGTGGCAACAGACGAAATAATTACATTTTTGTGTGCTATATTGTCATGTGCTAATGTTTACGAATTGAAATTATGTTTGTTTGTCATCTGTGAACCATGAGTGATTTCATCAAGGTTATTACACAAGCGGAAAAGGAAGCGCTTCAAATTTGTGTGCTAAATCATGATTCATGTGGATGCCCCTTTTATGTAATTTGGACTGTGTGATGTGTGCAGTGGTGGCCGCGGTGGTGGTGGACGCAGGGATAATTACAGAGATGGCGGGGGCCATGGACCCAATAGAAACCAGGGTGGTGGTTCGCGTTCACGGCCATACTGAAAACAACTAATATTGTTACTGTGATTTTCGTCTGTGAGAAACCATTTCTATTCCTGTTCTACGGATTTGTACTCATACAGGCGCATAAGGTAGGTTGTCTGCTTTCCTTATTGGACTTATGTTAAATTGTCATACACCAGTCTTGGTCGGACTTATGTTTGTCCAAAAGTGATTGATCTATGTTGTATGAATTTTTGAATAGAGGCAGATGGATATAAGCTCCAAATGCTGGTAGGTTTGTGATGTTTTTCAGGTGAGTGCCGATCCGTTATGATTGCTTATATTTCTTCGTTTTCTCGTTATTATTAATCTAATGCTTACATTCCACATGGTACCTCAGCCGGTGGATCACTCCTGTAAGCTTTGGATTTTGCTGTGAAGAACAGGTAGGGCAGTTTTGTTCTGTGATAGATTTATTAGATTTCGTGTATATTAGACGACATATCAACCAACATTCATAGAATGTTCGACATCCATTTTTGTTTGAATGGATGGAGGGGTTTTAACTTAGACTGTAGGATGTACTTAGCTTAGGTTGCCACAAACATCTGACTTCATATAGATGGTGACTTGTAGCTTATTTTGGTAAAGAGCCTATTCTTGGATCAAGGCTGCCCTATCTCATCATCCTCAGCAACACGATATGAGGTCGTGTTAAAGTGGTGATTTATATATAAATAGAAGAGCAGATTGCGTGAATTGGTTCTTCATATGCCCTGTGAGGCATCTCCGTACTGGGAGCTCGTGCCTTTGGTTAATTGACCTGGAGGTGTTTGACAACTTTTTCTTTAAGTACCCATTCCTTGCACTGATTAGACATATCAGTCGCGTGGGCATGCAGATGGCGAACTAGGATTGGTATTTTCGTGGCTGAGGTTTCTTATTTGGGTTTTATTGTATTTGACTTCTTATTTGTTTGACATTTGTTGATTGAATTTTCATGAAGTGTGTGAATGATTGTACTGCTTGAGCAGTAGCCAATTAATACGCGTCGGGCTTGTGACATGAAGTTACTGGACGTTGCAGAGTTGATTCAGTGCAAATCCGTTGTTGGCTGTTGCCGAATTGATTCAGCGCAAAGCCAGTTGTGAAGTATTACAATCGGGAGAACTCGTCGGCCTAGTCATGTGCGCAAGAGCAAGTGTATTATAGGCCTTGTTTAGTTCCCTTCAAAATTCCAAGTTTTTTCACTCTCTCTCCATCACATTAATTTTTAGCCGCTTGCATGGAGTATTAAATGTAGGTAAAAAAAACTAATTACACAGTTTAGTTGAAAATCACGAGATGAATCTTTTAAGCCTAGTTGGTCCACGATTGGACAATATTTGCTAAATAAGACGAAAGTGGTACTATTTATCAGGTTGAAAAAACTTTCAATCTAAACATGGCCATAGCCAAACATTGCAGAGATTGGGAATCGAAAAGTTCAACAATCTCACTGGCAACGTAATACTACCTTGTTCCTAAATAAACTAAATGTCAATTGTTTTTTTAAGTTTGATCAAATCTATAGAAAATAACATGATTGTTTATGACACTAAATTATATTTCTATAGCGCGAGTCTTAAACATTGATGTTTTTTTCTACAATAATAAATTTGGTCAAATGTAAAAAAGTTTGACGTAAACCAAATCTAGAAATTGATTTATATAGGGACGAATAATTTGAAGCATTTTTTGCGAAACTAGTACAAACATTTATACGTACGCACACTCACACTCGTCCTTGAACGTGCCTCACTATCCTAAGAATGTCCATGCAAGATTGGACGAGCTGCGCTCCATTTTGAGCAGGTCGTACACTTCCTACTCCCTACTACAGTACTACGTTCGAAATAGAAGGCATGCTTCTGTTTTAAATTTAAACTTTTTATCTTTGACCAACGATTACTCTAATTTTATGAGAAGTTTATAGTAACAAAGTGCTACAAACATCTTCCTTCGGCAAAGGATGGGGATTCCAATTCAATAAAACCAAGAGGGACACAAAATCCCAAATTTTGTACAAAGATTCAACCGAGCCTATACCTTGCACTTCTATGGATCCTGAGTTTTTTCATATTCATGAGCGATTGTTATATGTGTTGTACTATTATATATCATCTAATCATAATATCTTTTGTAGTAAAAACATAAATGGAACATCTAAAGTATGCAAATTATTTGCAATAATAAAACAACAGTTGACAAGTTTAAGGCATTCACCCGTAGCAACCTAGGGGACTTTACTAATGTTGAAGTATGGTACGTTTTCATCCTTCACTCTCTCTCAGCTTGTATTTGTATAGACGTACTATAGAGTGAAAGCTGTGTATCTAGACATGAGTCGGAGTCCGATTCTAAGAGAACTCGTACACATATGAGTTAGGGCCTGTTCGCTGGTTGGTGCTGGTGCTGGTTTGGGCTAGCTGGTGCTGATTTTTTGTGAGAGAAAAATACTGTTGGCTGGCTGGTCTGGGCTGGCTGAAATCAACAAACGAACAGGCTGGAAATTCGATTTCAAGACAGATTATAACAGATGGCGTGATCACTGTGCGGAGTTCAATCCTAAGACACTCGTGCTTATACGAGTTAGTGCATGCAGTGCACATGGTACGGAGTAGGATTCAAAGGCGAATTGGAACGGATGATACGACTGTTGACTAATGCTTGAAGCATCAAGTTGTCCAAGTAAACGTGCAACATGTTGTACATCCTGTTGCAGCGTGTGAGCATGTTCGCTATATCTCTACTATATATGTAATGTTAAAAATATGAAGTGATTCTTTCGTCTGTCTTTTTTTATTTCTCATAATCCCCTCGTATCTCTCCTTGTCTCATCTATGACCCAGACTCTCTACATGCACTCATACGTGTTATGGTATGGAGTCTCCTTGTGCACGTTTGTATATGCAATGATGGCATGGAGTCTGATTCTAATATGTTTTAGAACAAATAACGGTCCGCACGACAGCACAACAACGTATATGTTTCGTTGGAACGAACGGACACGTTTACTATTTAATATGAAGGTCATGTTTGGATCTCTTAAGAAAAATGAGAATAAGATATAAACACTGATTTTTAGAATGAGATTTTAGAATTCAACTATCTACTTGAAACCTATTCCCCCCGTTTCAAAATATAAGTCGCTTTGACTTTTTTATTCATCTATTTTGTTATGTATCTGGACATATTATTACATCTAGATGCATATCAAAATGGATGTACTAAAAAAAGTCAGAGCGACTTATAATTTGGAACGGAGGGAGTACGATTTGGTGTTCTTTACTATACAAAGACTATAATCACTATAACAATGAGATCCAAGCCTCCTTATTTTTTTTAATTCAAAATCTAGATTCTACATGGAATATCTAGAATCCATAATCTCACTGTGAGGATGAGATTCAAATAGACCCTAAAAAGAGAAGTGATTCTTTCATCCGTTTTTTTACTTACCACAATGCCCTCATATCTCTCCATGTCTTGTATGTGATCCGAATTGATGTCCCATGCTCATACAAGTTGCTCATACAAGTTATAACAAAGAGCGTCCAGCGATGGTTAGAGTTCGATTTCAAAACGTATTGAAACATATAACTTGATCGTTGAATAAATTTCTGAGCTGCAAATAGTGCAGGTAACCTCGCAACAAGTTATACATTCCGTTATAACACATGGACAATTTGCCATATATAATAAGGGAGATTAGTGGTCAAATTGTGACCTCAAAGACCACACCAAATCAAATCGTATCAAGAAAATATTCAGCAAAACATGAGCATAAATTACTTCAAAAATACTTGTTTTTGACTTTGTATGCTTTTTGTAGAATATTTTCTTAGGAACATTTGAATTTATGAGATTTTGTGAGTATTTTCAATACAATTCTACACGTATATAACTTACATATTTTAAACTAAACAATTTGAAGTTATTGTTGTTTGTAGTTGTTAATATTATGACCAATGAGTCAATGACCAGAGGTGATAGTAATCCTTTCTTTCGGCCTTTAGCTGAACTGAAGGATTCAGATAAGCAAGACCATATCATAGGCCCCATCCAGTTGCCGCTCAGCACCCATCATCAATCATCAAACCAAAGAAAAAGGCCCTAGCTTAGCCGTGGGGCATGCATAGCTTCTGTGCAAAATCCCAACTGCTGTAAAATTGGATCAGGATTTTCAAAAATATATTTATCCAACAACATTCTATGCTTTCCTATCTCCTTTTGCTCCTCATTTTACTCCTCCCTTCATACTTCTTAGAGCCACCTTTGCATTTTCCTCTCTGCTTGAGCTTCTTCTGCGTCTTGTTGCCCTTCTCCTTCCTCTCGTCCAAATTGCTCGCATCCCCATCGGAAGCATCACCATCAGAATCTCCAAACCCAGTGAGCTTCTCGTACTCCTCTTCATCAATGTCTCCACGTTTAAGCTTCTTCAAAAGCTGGTACTCATGCGCCAGCTCATCTAGGTCCTCCTTGGTTTGGATTGACTGACGCTGCTTGCCTGTCTTCTTCCGTTTTGGTTTCTCCGGCTTCTCTGGAGCTCTCTTCCTCTCTGGCTTTGGATTTTGAGCTTCCTCTTCTGCTTTCCTTTTCAGTGCCTTCTTGCGTTGTTTCTCTCGAGCTTTATCCCTGCAGTGAAGCAAGACAGAAAATCATGTAAACTCCAATGTGATACTACCACGCAAAAAGCACCATCTTTTGACTATGAATTGTTGGGTGGGTTTTGGAAAAAAGGAAAAAGCAGCCTCAATGCAGACTTGATCACTTGAAATCACAAAAAACTGATGGAAGATATTTGAGTTTTACTTTGTCAGGACTCAGGACAGAGGTAGAATTCATATTTCAAACATTATCATTCAAATGTGGACAATCCACAGATTTTCATTAAAATATAGATATTTCATTTTCTACAAGATCCAACACAACAAATTAGCTGTTACTTTAAAACAGGACAGCAAAAAAAAGCAAAATACGTTATGTTTGGGGATAGAGTTCTTACTTGTACTTGATTTGTGTAATATC